TAAGCTGCTGGGCCCCCCATAAGGCCCCCACATCTCCTCTCTGTGCACTGTGCACTGTGCATGCTTGAATTGTGCACAGCCCCAGGTTTGCTGTGTGGTTATTTGGTAAAAAGCAAATAAATTAAATAACATGCAACATGTAAGCACAAAAACTAAATAAAATATACTCACAAAAAAACTCATTAAAAACAGCAGCTAAATCAGTGGCTCTACACTTCAAAATATGACAGTATAAGACCCCCTCTGGTGTTGGTTTTGGATCATTTGGGCTTAATTCAGTCGGCTCACAGGCCACCGATTTTGGACCAATAACAGAACTGTAGAGTTACAGACTGAAACCTGCTTAGAACCTATAAGGAAACAATCTATTCTTCTGATATCATAACGTAAAATTGATTTCTTCTTACATTAGAATGAGCACAAATGTGATGCTAATCTTGTTAGCCAATGTGTGGCAAAATCTATTATGTGTTAGCATCAAGCTAATGCCTAACAAAATATCCTGCTCCGTCTGTGAGAAATTGTCCCTGCGTTAAATTACTAGAATATGTTATGGAATTTAGAAAATTAGTCAATAAAGAAGTCAACCTTGAACATGTTTGTCTGTCTCTTTGATTCAAAAACCTGTATTTTTACACAAATGCAACCAGAACACCAAAAACAAAGAAGGGTAACAAGATTGTTATATTTTGAAGCGTTTGGCCACAGACAAAGCCGCCATTTTTTTTTTAACCAGTTCAAAGCGAGAAAGTGCTGCAATAACGAAAGTCCTCAACTAGATTTTGCTTCAGGATTCTCCTCAGGTAAGAAAATAAACATCCTTTATACCCTTAGCAGTTCATTCAGGGATTAAAAAGTGCATATCCCTCAGTCATCTTTTTTTTAAATAAATATTTTTTTTACAACACACCAGCTTTGAACCTTTGGGTTTTTAGATGATCGGAGTAGACGGCTTATTTGCCTTCTTGTTAATCCAGCTTCTCAGTTTGGAATCACACCCCCCTAAAAACGGAGTATTCCCTTTTCTTTAGACCCAAGTAAAAAGTCTTAAATAACTCACAGGTTCAAAGTTCAAATCAGTGCTAGCTTATACAACAGTTGTTCTTCTTTATACCTTTAAATAAATCACTATATCATCAGCAAAATAGTTCATCTTTACAGTCAGATTGTTTCAGTGTCACTGCATACACAGGATAACAAAAATAGGTAGATTACATGCTAGCAGCTTAAACGTGAGCTCACACACACACGGAGTGAGGAGTGAGCTGCTACAGTCGTCTTCAGTGTAATCTCTTTATCTCTGCTTCTCGGTCCTCTGGAAAACAACCAAACGTCCTACAAGTCCTCATGTGAAAAGATTCAGCATAAATTTACATACACGATAAATGGACTTTACAATGTTTTAAGTGTATATGAATAAACCCCTGTTTTGCTGACGTAAATCTGTGAGGAGCGCAACCCAGTGACAGGGGGACAACAGGAGGGTTTTCACACCACATTCAGCTGTGGGATAAGACAGGGTTAACACCACCAGAGTGTGGACATGCAGAATGTTTGTAGTCCGTTTAAAGTTATTGTGCTGCGAGTGTTTTCAGTAGTCAAGTGTCAATCCTTAACCCCGCTCTTACTGAGAGTTTAAAGGTTAACAAACACACGTGTGATGCACAGGTTAAAGGAAAAGCTCAACATGTGTGGGGAAAAACGCTCACTTGTTTTCTTGCAGAGTTAGAAATCTGTCAAGTGAACATGAAGACACGAGGATCAGAGCCTTTGCATCCCAACAGCAATTCAGAAAGAGTGAAATAATGCCTGTGCATGGAAAAGTGCGACAATGAGCTAGGCGGCTAGGCTAGGTAGCTCGCTCCGACTACTATTCATATACCTTCTAGTTCAGCATTTGTACCTAATGTGAGCTACTGTACAGTTTGTCTTAAATTGATAAGCATCCAAAAAACATTCTCTCTCGCAAGAGTTAGATCTGTCCACAGCAAAAAAAACAAAAAAACAAGTGAGGAATGTTTTTACAGGTCAAATCTACGCACAAAGTACTACGTATGTCTTCAATATATATCCAAACTTATAGCGGAGGAAGTTTGGTTTTAAAAGTCAAGACACTGACATTCTCAATCCCTTATCAATCCATTAACATTCAATCTTTTTCCACTTGAATCCTGGCAGCATGTTACAGTTGTCGTAGTTGGTTGTTGAATGTATTGGCAGCTGTTCTATTTCAGTACATTTCAATTTTTGTTTTGGTTCTAGCAGAGTTGAATTAGAAGAGCTTCATCACGGTCGTATCTGTGGGCTACAGCCAGCAGCTAATCATCTTAGCTTAGCTTAGCATGAAGACTGGAAACAGTGGGAAACGGTGAGTTTGGCTTAGTTTAAAATTAGGCGTTTTCGCACCGCAGGAACTTTTTCATATTTCTAGGAACCGCTGGAACCCTCCTCCTTTTTTATTCATCCCGCACCGCAGGAACATTGCACTATTTGAGTTCCTAGAAACCCGTAGATAGGAAGCCATTTAGCTACTGCTTCAGAGTACTGTAGGTACCATGACGGTGCGAATGTAGACAGAAAATAATCCTCATGAACCCTTTTCACACATACGGAAATCTCCCTGGATAATAGCAGGACGGGCTGTTTATGTGAACGCGAACAGCCAAATGTTTCGCATTGGACTTCACCCGGAGGTTCTCCGGCCAGACTCCTAGTATTTTTTCCCGCAGCAAGTCCGAGTGAGCTGATGTGAGAATACAGCAGGATATTCTCCAGAGAATTCAGCTCAAGCCAATGGGAGGGGGAGTGACGTTTCTATATTGTGATTGCTGCACGGTGCATAAAGTTTTTACTACGGATCAATCTATAAGCTAACTGCAATGTAACTTTAGCACTAACAAAAGCATTTAACCTTCTCATCTCTTAGCAAGAACACAAACGGGCGCACGTCCAAAAATGTTGAACTATTCCTGGAAAACAACTGCTGCTTTAAGATTAACTAACAGCTATTACATTTTCTACTCGTGTTATGTTGAACCAGTAGAACATATAAACAAAGAGCTGTTAGTTCATTTTTATGAGATTTAGGGACTTTGACTTGTGATATAGCGTTTCTAAAAACTATAGCTACGACCCTGTTTAGAACCAAAACAGTCCAGAGCCTCTGACGGAAAGAGTTTGGTCAAGTGTTTGCTACAGCTTGTCATCAAGTTCACTCTCTTCAATACGATTATTGTGCATCGATTGTGTGGAAATGCCCTCATTACAGTTAACTCTGCCGTGAACATGCATGCTACTGAAACTGTACAAGTCCCAATCTACTTGTCGATTTGAATTATTTGGTAGAAATGTCAATATGCTTCAACACACTCAAAAGAAGCTTGGTTGTAGTCCCAAACAAAGAGTTGTTGACATCAGTCCACAGTGTGTCTTGACAATGTGAAGCTTTGAGGAGCTGGTGAGGCACCGAGCTCTGTTCACAGTGAGAAATATTCAGTTAAAGTCATGAAAAATAAACAGTCTGTGCAGTCAACGTCACATGAAATAAACAGCTTGTCAACTCAAGCTGCAGTTCTTTCCTCAAGAAACCAAGAAAGCAAAAACAATAAATAAAATCTTTAAAATACAAAAACAAAGAATGTCATATATTCTGTATATAAATTAAATAATGTTAAATAAATATATTTCCTCTTGAAAATTAAATTATTTATACATATTGCCTTGTATTGCCTTAATCGAGAGGTAGGCCACGAGAATAACCCACCTTCACAGCAGCAGTGACGTTGACTTAAAGGACCATTACGCTGGTTCTGCAAGTTTGAGCCTTTTAGCTACAAATAAGATGTAATGATTATTTATGTTGCTGAATATTTCCAGTTTCATGCATACATTTTGTTCAGAGTTCTATGGCGAGCTTTTTTGGCTCGTTGTTTCTGTAGGGCAAAAAAAATAGTTTAATTATTGCCAGTTACTAAAAAGTGCATAAAGCTATCATTATCTGATTAGTGAAACCATTAATATTTTTTTTGTCTTTACTTTGTCTTCCAGTGGGATACATTTTTTTTTTTAAAAGAAAAATACTTTTCTGTTATTTCATTCACTTATTAGTTTCTAAATGTGTGATAATCTTTAACATTTACATTTTGAATCTCTTTCATTTTAAAACACCTAAATCTAGTGGCAGCAAAGAGGGCTCTGATTGGCCAGCTTAATTTGTCTTGGCAGGAGTCTGGCCAACCAGAGCTCTGTTTGTGAATAATTTTTTTGTTTTGAAGGAGCAATGTGTCACTCTGACACCTAGTGTTTAAAATGGGTACTGCAGTATAAATTCTAAACATCATAGAGAGCTGTCTCCCCCTCCCCCCCTCCTCTTTAGAGTCGATGCTCACTCAGGTCACCATGTGGTGGACTCTGAAGCTTCAGTGTTTATCCAGCTCTGCATGGGTCTGTAAACCTTTCTGTGTTCTAACCTCTCTCCATTTTTCAAAAGCATCTCCAATATTGATCCTAGTTTGAGCACGTTTCTGCTCGTGGAGCTTATTAGAAACATGCAGAGGCTTTTTAGGTCGGGTACAATCACTTCTATCTGAACCACTTGACCCGTGGTTCAGATAGAAGTGATTGTACCCGACACTCTTGACCCGCTTCCATCGCTGCAACACCTGTTGGTTTGACGTTTGCCTGGTAAATCGAGGGGTGTCTAAAACGGCTGTGTGGGGGTGCCTTAAAACCGCCTACCTTCTCTGGTCAAAACAAATCCAGACCAGAATCTAAAGTTAGAAGGAGGACATACTGGCTGCTGCATTGTTGTCAAAAGCAGCCAGCACTTCAACATAGCATGTTTCCTTAATGTCTGATCATATAGTAAGAACATTTTATGATTTAATTTAGTAAATATCTTACATATTGCTCCATTAGAGTAATGTTCTAAGATATAAATAATTGCAAATAAATAAAGGTCTTTTAAGTTTCTAAGATATATCCAAAGAAAATAATTTTTGTGTCCAGGATTTGTATTAAAAGTGGCAGAATCGTGCAAAATCAGCGTTATGGTTGTTCAACTTTCACCTCAGATCACAAAATCCTTACAGTACAGTGAATCTGGTCTGTTTGCTGGAAGTGAAATAGACCCACCAGCAGCTCAGCACAGAGGAGAGACAAGGGGATATTCATTCCCACATGTCTGTCCCTCGACTATAAAAGCCACCCCCAAAATCCCAACCACACAATCATACAAACTGCTGTTCTATAACGAACTACAACTGAAGTTAAAACCTCGACGGTGTCAGGTTATGGAAGTTGCACTCTTTGGAAAAATAGAAACAGAAATTGAGAGAAATAAATAAAGCTCAACTGTTACTGGTTTAAAGTAGTGTGTGTAGCAGGGCTGAAGGGACGCAGCAGGTGGGAACGTGAGTCTTCTGCTAATGTCTCACCAGCGATGACTTAAAGGGCCAGTTCACACAAATTACAAAAAAAGCAACTTGTAAATGGTTTCAGTTTTGTGTGCTGTTATTTTCAAAATTTGGGAAAGTGTTTCTTTAAGAAAGATTTATATTTTCTGGGTTGAAGGCAAAAAATTAATAATTTTGAAACCTGGTGAACTGATTCTTTAAGTTAGACACATCCTGTCTAATCACGCTCAACGGCGTTCCATGCGCCTCCGCCATCTTTGTAGTCTATTCTTGATATTGTTTAGTGTTGGAGAGGGAGGGGGGGCATGCAGGAAGGGATAAAGGAAGGATCTCCGTTTACAAAATACACCGATGTGCTGCTCCTCAGACTTCAAGTTCAGGAGACAACGAGCAAACAGGAATCAGGAAGAAGTGCTAGTGTGTGTTTTTTGTAACTGAGTGCACGGGCAGTTTCCCCCCACAGGGACTCGAGTTAGATGGTGCTCTCAGTGTGTGTATGACTGATGGTGTGGACCTGTGGGTGGGGGTGGGCCTGGCCGTGGCTGGGTCTGCGCGGGCCCACACAGTTCTGCTGCTCACTGAGCAGAGTGGTGGTCTCTCCCGCCCCGTTCTCCGAGCCAGCAGAGGAATGCTGGGACCTGGAGGAGGTCAGAGTCGGGTGGGGGTTGGAGATGGCTATGCTCATGGAAGACGCAGGGGTTTGGGAGATGGGGGTGTGGTTAATCGGAGGGGGAGTGGCTTGGGGCAGAGACTGGCTGGGTCTGCGTCCGGATGACGAGGTGGTTTGGGGCAGCGAGCGGCTGCTCGGTGGCAGTTGAGTGTTAGACGTCTGGCGCTTAAAAGGAGGTGTGGCCAGCGGCAGTGGAACGCGGGTCCCCGGCGGCGTGATGGGGGCAATGAGGCAGATGTGTCCAGACGAGTGTGACTGCCGTCTGGGGTCTGAGGCGAGCTGTCGAGCCTGGAGGCCAGGAGACCGTTCTGGTACTGAGCACGAGTGATCTAAAGAAAACAAACAACACCGATTAAAGAAGATAAATGATGATAAAGCCAGAATCTGGAATTTTAAAAACCTGTAGTTTTACATATTTTAGGATCTTGATGACTGATAGGAACCAAAAAATGGAATTGCTTAGTAGATTTATTCAGACAAACGCCTTGAGGCTTTAAAGGCTGAATCGATGAATCTGTGTTCTTCACTACTTCCAAAGATTTCCCCCTTCAATGTTAACACAATAGAGTTTCACATTGGTCCTTGAGGCCAGTTTTTTTAACCTTAATATTCTTCTGATAATTTGCAGAAGTAAATGATGTAAGAAACTTCCACCGTAGTACCAGAGGTGAAAAAAATATGCTCCAGAATCTGTTAACTGGTACGTGTTGAAACAGTCTGTTACCTTGACAAACTGCAGGTCTGTGAGGGCACGGACGCAGAAGTCTGTTATGTATTGGAAGGGTGTCCCTGGGATCTGGTTGATGCTCCCGCCCACCGAGGCGCTGTCCGGAGCGCGCTCAGTGCAGCTCAGAGACGCCGAGCGGTTGAGGTTGCCCCCATGTGACGGGGAACGAAACTCTGGGGTCGATAAAAAAGAGAGTGAGAAAAACTAAACCAGGCACTGACACACAAAATTTAAACATTAACAAAAAAGGAGAACAAACACCCGGAAACATCAGGAAAAACAAGATGTGAAAACATGGATAATGGAGGAAGACGTTAGTGAGAGCAGTAAGCATGATCACACTGAAACACACCACACACAAACATATACACGTATATAACATGAATATATATTAGTGTCTACATCATCATCCTGCTGTGGATGACTGATGATAGAGATGAGATTGTGTTTGATATGAAAAGAATGCGACAAACATGCCATGCGGTGAGGCAAAGTGCATCGTTTGAGCATTTTTATGGCTACAGTGCAGGACTGTGCAAGCTTTGAGGAGAAACCTCTCTGATTGGCTGGTTTTAGTGATGTCATGGAGGGTGGTGAAGAGCAGGAAGAGTGTCCTTGTGACCCTCCTTTCTTGAAGGGTTGTGTTAAAGGAGAGAGAGCGACGGCCAGTTGAGGAGATCAAGTGGGAGGAACTAATGCTAAAAGGAATAGTTCAACATTTTGAGAAAAATATTTCTTTCTTTCTTTCTCTCTCAGAGTTAGGTTGAAAGATTGATACTGCTTTCATGTCCTACAGGTAGCTTTGTAGCACATTAGCTAAGGTTAGCACTGGGGGAAGTTTGTCTAGCTCTGTCAGGTAGACCAATTACCTTTTCCTAAATCAAGCTACTTCCGAAAAGCAAACCAGTTTTATTTGTGTTTTAACACTGTTATGTATCTAGCTAACTAGTCGTATGTTATCCCAAAACTGTTCTACAACTGCGCTAGAGACCTACAAGCAACACGTTGTGCTGTAATATAATTCCATAAATGGGTCATAAAATAATGCCAAATGACATATATCATACTCAAGATTTGTTAAAAGTAAAAGAAATTTGCACACTTTTTGTTATTTGCTTTTACTTATTCTTGTCATTTGCATAGCTGTGCAAATTTGTATTTATATATTTGCATTAATTTGACATCTTTGCATCGACTTTTTTAATTTAACGTCAATCTAAAAGCTTATCAAGTTACACAATATTATCTTATTGTTTTTCTGTACCTATAAAACTAGGGGTTTCCATTTTTTTATGCTAAGCTAAGCCAAGCTAGCCAGCTGCTATGCTAATTGTATTTAAAGAACATGCATGAGTTTGGTATCAATCTTCTCATCACACTCTAAGAGGAAAGAAAGCAAATAAGCATAGTTCTCGAATGTCATACTTATCCTTTAACCAGAGATCTACGGTCAGAAAAGTTTTGTTTTTTTCTGGAATATCTCAGAGGTTGTGAGTTGAATCTGACTGTAAATCAATGGTTAAAGGGGAGGAGGTGTTAGGGGTTAGAGGTTAGTCTCAGTACACCAAGAGCCCCACCCAGCAAGTTGTTGACCTCCTGCTGAGACTTGAGAGAGCGTCTGCTTCTTGGACATGTCATGACTTGTGAGGAATTCTGCTGTTGATATATACTTGTATTTAGCTCTTGGCTTGACAATCCCCTCTGGAATAAATCGACCTGAGCACGTTACAGGACCAAGGCTGCAGCACCGTATCATTTCTGTGATGCTAATCAATACTTCTTTACTCACTGATTAATAGCGGGCAGAACATAAACTTGTCCTGGTGTTTTAAAAGTGAGAGAAAACTTAGCAATTATGAGTTTTTAACAGATGCTTGTAGAAAAATAACAATCTTAAGACATCCCCTACTTATCTTGGAGGTTGAACTAGGGTTTTAACTATAATCATAAAATATCTTTAGCATTGCAGGAATCTGTAAAACATGCACCTGACACCATTACATTTGGCTTTAAATTCATATCAAATTTGCACTATTTTTCTAGATGCTGTTATTTGTATAGTCTAAGAAAACTCTCACTTGTTTTTATACTGATTTTATTTAAATCTTATAGCTCTATCAAATGCTGTAAGTGCAATAAGAAATATCCAAGTTATTATCTCTTTTGAGATATTTATAAAGAGCAAAACTCTTGGTTATAAACTTGTATTTAGACAATAGACATGTTTAACATTCTTTGGAATAATTTTGTTCTTGCATTTGGTGTAATTTCAGCAATAATATTCAAGAATTTCAGTTTATAATCAGTCTCAGATATGAAAATGATCAGACTTTAAGGTTTGCTCTTCTTTTCGATGCCTTTGTTGAGGATTAAAGATGACTCAAAGGGGCCAGCGTTTGCTCAGAAAAGCATCAAAAAGAGGCAAAAAGCTAATTAAACTTTTACTATGCAGACTGCCCCCACATCCCGTGTTCACTCGGGGTCTGAACTTGCTGGATCAGGGCTCCGGAGATGATGGAGAGAAAAAAAAAGAAGGGAAAATGGAGATTGGCTCAAAGAAGATAACCTCCCTCTCTCCTCTGGCCCATGCGAGTCTTTACCTGGAAAACGAGTGAACAGAGAAAACCTCTTAAGAGAGAGGCGTCGTGGAGGGGGGGACGCCACTGACGGGGAGAGAGGAGGGGTGACAGCTGAGAGAGAGGAGGGACAGGAAGGGGCAGAAAAAGAGAAATGGGCTTGTTTATTTCTTCTTTGTTTTTTATCACTTCAGCAGAGAGGGAATCTCTCATCCCTGTGTGATGCCACCAGGGGCGTGTCCAGACTCTGACTGGGGTGACCCACTGACTATTGCAGGGGTGGCACACACACACACACACACACACACACGGATGAAAAGCATGTTTTTATCATTTTTATCCACTAATCATATCTACATTAACAGAAAAAAATAAAGTTTCATGTAGATGTAATTTTTCCTGTGCTTATTTTTTAACTTTGAAAAGTAACACAACATATAAATCGTCTAAGCTTTACTCTTTCAGGACAAAAAGGAAGATGTTTGTCCAAAGTGTGGCAGCAAAGAGTTGGCAACAACTGTATTTATTCATTGCTAGTTAGACAGTGTGCAGGACTTAACCTTATGGACTCATTCCTCTCCTCTGACCTGTGGAAGTCTTTAATTTTAGGTCCCAACAAAAGGAAATGTGCTCCCTTTCAACGCAAAGAAAGGTAAAAGGATTCATTTTACATATTTAAAATACATTTAAAATCCTCGTTGTTAGACTAGCAGTTCAACGCTGCTCGCTGCCTTCAATGCGACATATTACAACATAATCGTGCTTCAGCACTGTACAGGAAAACTGGACCTAATGTGAGTGCCCCCCTAAAAGACCTGACAACAATTATCACAACATCTAGATGTGGTCTGCTACTCTGAGCATTAAAAATCACCTTGGGTTTCATCTCACCATTATGTTAAAAATAGAGCCCAGGTATAAATATTTTGTAACTGATTAACCCCTTAGTGATGATCTTGTTTGTCTTATTTTAATTTATCTGTCTTGATCTAAATCCCAGGCGACATTTTTATTTTTAAGACATAATTTTCAAAAAGAGAAAGCTGACTTTAAATAATAAATGGGCATTAAGCATGAGAAATGTTCCAAAGTCTTTAACATATGTACATTTGACACTGCACATGCAAAGACACTGAGCTGCAGGACGTACAGACGGCAGTTTATCCAGGACAGAGACAGGATAGAATAAACAGGACAGCAGGGAGGAGGAAGAAGAAGAAGAAGAAGAAGAAGAAAAAACGTGAGGAGAAACATTTTAGCTGCAGTTACAATGTTGGACCACACGGGGGCAGCAGAAACACAACTTTAAAATGGAGCCTAACAGAAGTCCTGCCTGACAGCAGCTCCGCCTGTTCAGGCAGGCTTTCATCATCCACCTGCACACACAGCCTCCATCTCCTTCTTCAAACATGCATCTTTTAAAAAGACGGCCGTGTTATATAACCGCGTGGACCTCTGACCCCTTTGTCCTCATTTACTGCTTTGATTTCCATTTTTATTTTTTGCTGAAATCTGACTTCAAAGCTTCATATCTGCACTCCTGCTGGCTGCAAACAGCTATGAATTTAGCAAAGTAAAGGATAAACATGCTGGAGTGTGACTGACTTGTATTATTAGTCATGGCTTTATAAGGGAAGATAAAATATGAGATCATTACTGGATTAAATGGAAAAACGTTATTAGCCCACACAGGTCACTCCTTCACCCAGAAAAATAAAAAGCAGTGCAGCATTTCACTTAAAACTCAAAGACAGGCTGCAGATTGTGATGCACTGTCTACACTCTTTATATGAAAAAGGCAACGTAAAGTAAACGATGAGATTTTGATGACTGCAGCAGATCTTAATACTCTTAAAAAGGAGTAAAAAAAACAAAAAGAAAAACTGCTAAAGAATTGTCAATACGTTGAATACAGAGCAGGAGTCACTTTGTGGTTAGCTTAGCTTTGTTTAAAGACAGGACACAATATGAACGTTTCAATACACCTCAGTGAAACTGACAGGAACAGCCACTGATGTTGTTCATAGCTACACATAATACAATAGGATAGGATGGGATCCCAGGATATGATACAAAACATACGACATGATCCAGCACGATCCAAAAGGACACTACAGCAGGATACAACACAACAGAAGTCGACTATTTGTGCACATCTTTATTCCAAAGTGCAGTAAAACCCCCCAAAAAGAGAGATCTGGAATGAGCTTGCAAAAGATGCTTTAAAATATGGTCTCAGCTCGTGCTGTTGGGTTCTTGTGTTGCCTGGGTTCTTATGATGGTTCTTATGATGGTTCTTGTGATGGTCGGGTTATATATGTCTGTTGTGTATCGTGCACTATGGGTCCTTTTCTGTTGTATTTAATTATTTTTAGTATTTTGCATCTGTTATGTTCTTACTGTTGTTAATGTTCTTCTGTGTTTGGTTTAGTTTGTTCTTGTTTTTGCTGTTTGTCAAAGCACTTTGTAAACCTGTGTTTTTAAAAGGTGCTATATAAATAAAGTTATTATTATTATTATTATATAAAAAACCTGAATAATTCCAGCATATCACTCGTCATTTCTTTGAAACACGACTTCTGGAGTAAGGCTCGTCTGATGCGTACATTTGTGTGAAATAATCTAAGATCTATAAAGGTTATTAAGCTGAGAGAATCTGGGGATGGCTGGTGATCGCTCACAAAGTTATTATTACTAAAGTTAAAGTTATTTTCAGTGTGCCACCTGAGAACGTGTGACCGTGCACGGGGGTACCCTGGTGGTTACTGAGATTTAAAAGTGTTGTTACAGTTTGTTTGTTTGTTTTTGGAGTGTTTTTCCCTGCTCGAAGTCTATGCTAAGCTAAGCTAACCACATCCAGACTCCAGCTCCGTGCCAACAGCTCCGACATCATCACTTTTTATATTAAATCTTTATCCCCTCGATTATACAGCGTCACGCAGCTTCTTATTTAAAGGATATTTTTACAGCTGGTTGTTCTCCAGAATACATTTTTAAATCAGCCACATTAACATTTTAATTAACCCGATTAAGGTAAGCTTCTGTCTCGATGAACGGGGGAGGAACATCTCTTTAGTGTCTCTGGTTGATTTGTCAGGCGTCACCTGACAGCCCCGAACGACACAAAACGAACTCTGCTCGACCTCCGACAGCAGGAAGTGTTTCCTTATTTGGACTAAGCCTAATTAACTTTCAGCTGGTTCTCTAACACAAAGCTTCACTTCAAACTCACTGACGCAGCACTTTGTCAAACAGCACGTGTGTGTTTGTTAGAATAAACAGAGACTATAGGAAGGATTCTGGTTACTGCTTTTGTTTTCACCTTTAAACCTTGAATCTTACAAGTAATAGAAACTGTGTGCAGATGAGAATGTGAGCGCGACCGAGAAACGACCGAGTGCAGGAAAACTACATTACAAATAAAACATTTACCTCAATCACAAATGTTTACTACGGAGCCCATGAAGTCCCAAGAAGTAAACAAGACAAAGCAAGCAATTTTTTTGCATCTTCATTATAATCAAATTCTGACTTAATTTACTCAGAATGAAGAAAAAGTCCAGACAGCAGATAACGACACGATAAAGGAGGAACCATGAAGCAAAACGTCATGTTTGTTTGTTTGCCCCCACAGAGTGTGAAAATGTGATGTTTTATGTTTATTTGAACGACTCTTATTGCATTTGTGGGTTTGTGTGTGTGTGTGTGTGTGTGTGTGTGTGTGTGTGTGTGTGTGTCGTCTCACCCATCGTTGGTGAGCTCAGAGCCATGACTCCGTAGTAGGAGAACGGGCCGGTTTCAAACTTCATGTTTTCGTTTCCAGCTTCCACCTCCACTCTCCCCTGAAACACACAAACACAAAAAAAACACACTGAGGACATTTGTTTGATTCGCTAATTTATCTGACATGTGACACCAGCGTGTGTGTGTGTGTGTGTGTGTGTGTGTGTGTGTGTGTGTGTGTGTGTGTGTGAGTCAGGTGGCTCAGCGGTCATCTCCTGTGGCAGGTAACTGAAACACTTTGACGTTCCATAAATATTACATCCTGCCTCAGGTGAAGTGTCCCTTTACCTATCTCTCTCACACACACACACACACACACACACACACACACACAGAGATGTATGTATTTCAGGTGTGAAACAGGAGCGGTCATGCTCAGGTTGCACTCTGAGTGTCTGCAGTCACTTTATCCACACCTCAGGTGTCGACAACAAAACTTCAGGAGTACACACACACACGCGCACACACACACACACACACACACACACACACACACACACACACACACACACACACACACACACACACACACACACACACACACACACACACACACACACACACACACACACACACACACACACACACACACACACACACACACACACACACGAGTCAGAAGAGCGACAACATTACAAAACAGCGAGCAGGTTAAAGAAAGGATTTTGGGGCCGACAGAGATGATGTATAACAGAACAGACGTTTGTGTGTGTGTGTGTGTGTGTGTGTGTGTGCAGCCTGATTACACACACCAAAAATAGAAGCATACGCCTGATGTCAACACACACTGTTTCAAGTTGTTTCAATATGACACAACAACTGAGTGTACCTCTAATACGTGCTCTTTGGTCTTCATGTTGTATTATTATTGTATCGTATCTTATTTAATTATGTTGCATCGAAAAAAGGATTCATGTAAAAGTCGAGATTCTTCTCTTCTAAGATTTCAAATCGATTCCTAACTTCCAAAAATCTATTTCTTTTTTTTTTTTTTGGGGCTGATCAGTCACTCCCTGCTAAGTGCTAACGCTAGCTCTTTAACTCAGTAGAATGGAGCAACAAGACATTCAGCCGGTCTCACAGATGACTGGAGTAGATCCTGGAGTATGGACTAATCCATAAATAGAATCCATGGACCCAAGAATCCAGAATCATTCTGAATCGAAAAATCGATTCTGAATCGAATCGTGACCCCAAGATTAAAAATCTAATCAAATTGTGAGACACCTAAAAACTCCTAGCTGAAAAAAGCCAATTTTACAGCAGAAATAAACATGTTTACAGCCTGATTAGGTCTGATTAGTTATTGTCATCACTTGCACACACGGTACGGGGGCTATATGTTTTAAAGCTCGTCAAGAGGCTTAAAACCCGCCTCAGCTCCAGCTCTCAGTCTGTCGTTAAGTTGACTGAAAGTTAGGAAGAGACAGGATTTCCAACATGGCGACTGCTGCTGATGAGCCTCCTGAACCTCCTGCAGGAACAGTAAATATTCCATTAATATTTACAGTCTGTGGTCGAAACATTAGTCTTTGCTTGCACTTTAATCATTTTGTGCTCCAGTACTTTCTATGGGATTCTGCCTGTGTGAAGACGTCCTTTGAAATATTCTGACGTCTTAAGCTCCTTCTCTGAGAGCACTGACCTCCATCTGTGGAGGATCTGAAGGGCAAACGTTTCTTTCTACTTCTGCTAATATAAAAACACTTATATTATAGATTTTGCATTTTTTTCCCCCCACAAAATAGTCGCAGATGAGTTTTCTGTTTATCCACTTTTAAGGTGGTTATGGTTCCAGCACTTATTCAATGCATTGTCCATGATATCTACATTTTGCCTCCAATAATTTAGAAAAATAAGCAGAAAAGCTGCTAAATGTTTTTGTCCCTGATACCGGTCTCGAGGAATAAATAAAACGGGCAGCTGTCCCAATTTAAACGCTGTCACTTGGGCGTCTGAAACGCTCTTGTTGTGTGATCTCAGTGTGTCAGAGGGGCTCCTCTCTGCACGACCTTCACTAATAGATCCTCTTACATAAGCCGGAGACAAACAGAGGGTGGTGGGGGGGGGGGGGATTGAGGGGTTAAGGAGGACGGAAGAGAAGAAAAGCAGATGAGATGAGACAGTGAGCAGCGTTGAAAAATCAGCAAGCAGAGCATATGGAGTGTGAAATAAAGAGCAGGAGAGGAGTTCAGGGATGAACGTGGAGACGGAGACGGAGGACGGGCTGTCAGTCAGTAAATCCCTCCTCTGCACCAGGAAGAGAGGAGAGGACGGAGAGGGGAGGGAGGGGAGGGAGGAACGAGAGAGGGCTGGAGCTAGCAACACACTTTTATTGGGGGCATTTTGGCGCCTCTCATTTTGTAACATTTGAATGAACTCCTGAACTGAAAATTGAAGATTTCTTGTGAACATTTGCAAAAAAAAAAAAATAAAAAAAAAAACCCAGCTCAGTAAAGGATTTACAAAGGTGGCTCAGGATGGACTCACACCCTGCAGAGTACAAATGTGATAAACATCGTTATAGGAGCCAAAACGCTCGTTTGTATTGATCTATGCAACACAACACTGTGAGTCGAGTGTCATACCGACACTGACCACTGGGTGGAGTCTTGACGTGTGCTGTGCTTAAAGCTAAGACTCCAGGTAATGGATTCAGGTGTGTGTTTGGAGGCATGTCGTTTTTTTTTTGATTATGATCGAACCTGATCATGAAGTAAAATAAACCGATCGAAGACTCCAGTGGAAAAGAGTATCAGACATTCGTTTGTTGCAACGACAAAGAGCACGCGTCCAAAAAATAGTTCCAAAAACTCACCTGAGTTTGGACAATATTGTTGTTTTTTTTTCAAGAAGATAAATAAAAACGGTGTTGTTCATTAACGAAAACAACCTTTAAGCCAAATCCATTATCGTCATGTCAAACTCCCCTTCATATTTAGAAGATTCAGACGTTTCTCACATTTTCTTTTACAAAAACGAGTCCTTCAGTATCTAAACTTTTCTAAAAGAACAACATCAGATATCACACTTCCTCATTAAAGCCTTCCGAGGAAACACTGATAATAGAAATGAAATGATTTCCTCATGTCCCTTCAGAGGCTTTGCTTTACTTCCTAGTGGGCATTAAAGTTGGCTTTTTGCTTCGAAAGGTTCCTAACTTAGTGAAATGACCCGGAAGCATCTAAGTGGCGGCCGTGATAAGAGTCGTTTGATTTCTCTAAAAGCAAAGGAAAAGGTGCGTCAATGCTTCCTTTATAACCTGATTTATGAGTGGACAGGAAGGTGAGCAAACATCCTCAAAGTGACAACTGTTTGGTTTCACTTTTGATTCTCGTAGCCTGGTGGTCTATATTGCTTTTATTTCAATCCCAACCTCGTGGTGATCCGGATTATTTCACCGGGAAGAAGGCACAGGGGAAAGTTTTTTAGATGCGCTTTTAGGATTTCAGAAAATTGTAGTTTCAGTTTCCGTTGCATGTTAACGTCACCTAATGGAAATGTGATTCTCAGAGCAACGTGGTCTCCTTTCCTTAAGTCCTTTATAAATTCTCCTAACGTCTTCTCTTAACCTCATGACGGGTTAAGGAAAGCCAATAACGGTCGATTCTAATATATGCATAAAATGGTTCTATATTTATGTTTGACATGCTTTAACTTTGTAGCTCATTTTATTTAGAGTTTACTTCTGTATTTTATGTAAGTTAGACAGCTTAATACTTTAAATTGTGAATTTGGACATACGTCATCGTTTGTGAGTCCCTAAAGAATCAAGCAAAGACGATCTATATTATGTCAAACTGTGTTACTTAAGGGTGCACATCATTATAGAGGATAGAGGTTAAGGTAAAGAGGACAGTGAGAGGGGAGACAATCTGAATCCAACCATGGTCCTATGTATGTTATAAAAACAAGTAGACAGCAGTGTGCAGAGGAGGAGTCTTCATGTTATACAGTATATCAGGAATGCTCATTTAAATCTGTTTTTTGGGTGTTAGCAGGTATCACTCTGATCTCTGAAAGAGTCAAACATTTAAACGTTCCCATTTCTACAAATATCACTCAACCTTCTTTTAAAACGGCTCTGAAGCCCGCATGTTCTTTAAAGTAAACACTTAATGAAATCTTCATAATTGCTTTTTCGTCACGCGAGTCTTAAAAGGTCGACCTGTAAAGGTGCTAATACCCGCTCCAGACTGACGGCCGACCTGGGATAAACCCGTGTTTGTTACCAGATTAAACAGGTCGACCGGTGCCGTCTAATCTCACCTCGTTATGATTCTTCTTCACCCGTTAGCAAATCAGTGTTTCTACATTTTTTAAAACTCAC